GTTGTCATAGGAGGAATTTCCCCAGCTGTCCCTGCCGTAGCCGCTATAACCGTAGCTCTTGTCCTCTCTGCAGGTGCTGTGCCGAATGATGTGTGTCTGATTCTGCCAACAATATCCAAGGCAACAGCTCTCCAAGCTCCTGATAGCTCCAATCATCGTATGACCTGTCCTTCGATCGGCCCTTGCCTCTGCGGAGCTGAGTGAACGGACAATCGTAAAGATTGGATGGCAATTTTTTCCTGAACCATGTACAGAACCAGCACAAGTGCAAAAGAGACCAAATGGTCGACCCCATTGTTTTGCTGAACCTCTCGCCTGAGGAGCCCTTGGACTTGGGCGCGGAATAAGAGTCCTAGTCAGCTGCGAAGCCGGGAATTCATGAGGTGAAGCTACACTGCGAAGACAGGGGTCCTCCCAGGACTTGCTCTTGGACTTCCCCTTACCCTTGTCGCTCTTGCCTTTGCCGCCTTTGCTGCCTTTGCCCTGAATGTCAAATGAAGGAAAACAAAAGCCTCCCTCCCAAAGTGCCAACGGCCTTGGGCTCTTCATAGTCGTCGTACCTCATGAAAATGAATCAAACAAGTGCTGCATCATCTCGCTCATGTGTTCACTCTGTCCATCGCCAAGAACTCAATAGACGGGGAAGACTAAAACTTCCAAGCAGGGTAGCCTGTCTTATGCGCCTATGGTCAGCTCAAAATTCCCGGCGTCCCACGAATGTCGTGGTGAGCGGCTTCATGAAATGAGCCCCACGGTTTCAAGAGCACCTTAAGGTCTTTTGCTGCAAGCAAATTGCCTGTCTTTTGGCCTCACAGCATCCTTTCTGAGGAAGAAAGTTGATGTTCATTGGGGTGCCAGTCTTCCAAGTCTTCACTGCGGACGCTCCAATGCGCCAAGAGACGAGGTTCTGCCCTTTCCTTTCCCCTTTCCTTTGCCCTTTCCTTTGCCGCTCTTTCCCTCAAAGAAAGACAGGTGCAACCATCCACGACAACTTGGGTTCTTCTCCAGCTCACCGATTTGTTTGCTCCAAATGGGTCTCTCTACCATCACACGACACAAAAGATCGAAGCAACCAAATCAACAAACAACGAATCATTGACAGCCGATCAAAAGATCTCCACGGCCTCGTCCTTGCCTTTACCTTTGCCTTTGCTCTTACCTGTGCAAGTCTCTCACATCTCACGTTGGCACGTTTTTCAAACACTCTACATTCACTCGTCATATGCAGAAAGATCAAGATTCAGTCTGACGTTGCAGGCAGTTGCAGGTTGACTCTTTTTGGCCGTTGACCGGGGATGGCAGCAGGAAACTTCAAAAACAAAGAAAGCCCAAGCCTTTGCTGGAATCCTTTCCCTTTCCTGGTGCACTGCTGGACTTTCCTTTCCCCTCACAATGTGCACAAAGTGAGAGGTACCACAAATCTCCAAAGATCTCCAATGTCATTAGCAACCACAGAAATGGATCCTTGATTTAGCCTGATCACCAACGCTCCACCTCCCAGTGGCCAGCCAAAGGTCTAGAGCAAGGGTTTGCTTCATTACATGTCACAGGCGGCGCATGTTGAAAGAAATGAACATGTAATCATTCACAAACAGGCTCTCACTTGTGGTAGGTGTTCTTTGAGAAGTTCCGGTATCCACGTTGTTTGGCCAAAAACAAGACTCTTCCTCCAACCTCTGAGGCCAGGAAGGCCACACAATGTGGCCGCAAACAAACACGAGTGTAAACCAGCCTTGCCGCGGCCCTTTCCTTTCCTGAAATGGCCAAAAGCTTGTCAAGCTGTCCATGTCAACTCTTTCAGAACACACTGCAAGAGTTCTGCAGCCAAGTGTCCCTCGACCGCGACCACGACCCTTGCCCTTACCTGCTCACATAGACAAGAGGTATGTGGCAAACAAGCCTTGAGAGTTCTGCCGACCGAGCCGACCGAGCCGAGACGGTCTTCGTCACTCTTCGGTGTTTCCAGTTCCCAAGGAATCGGACCAGGTCGGACCTGTTATCCGCGAGCAGATCCCGCCCTGGTCGCCAAAGATGTCAATCATCCACCAATTCCAGCCAAACAGGCCTGTTCCAGCGCCACGTCCTCTGCCCCGCACCATGTCCTGTCGCTCCAGTTTTCACGCCCCCTCTCCGCTCCGCTGATCCCGACATTTCTCAAAGATCCTCCCGCTCAAGACGACTCAAAACCGCAGCCAGGGGGATGCGTCAGATTTTGCGGGATCCCGACCTCGGGGTCGAACTCCTTCACCATGGACTCGTCCAGAGGTGGCTGGTAGCCCTTATCACTGCTGTCCAGTGGATCCTACAGCGCAACGGGAGGATCAAAAGGTGTACAAGGGTCTCAACTCACTGGCAGAGTGCCTGCAATCCTGGTGAAAGTCGCATAATCATGATCAGTGGAATGCTGGCACGACATGTGAACGCCGTTTCAATCGACATGTGACACGACATGTGACCAGCGAAGACTTCCGTCCTTCGACAGCTTAATCTCAATCACGGAGACGTGCCGGACATCTGTGACCTCCGTGTCGGTGTCGCTCGGAGGGCTGGGGAATCTTGCCAAGCAGAATGTTGGATCTGTTTGCTTTTAAGGCTAGGTACTTAGGGCTATCAGTGCAAGTGCCTTCGTGTCAAGCAAAAGGTGGCAAACGTCTGCCTTTCCTTGTCACTATGCAAACCAAGACATCCGCCATAGATGGACCTCGGCATGTTATTGCGTTATTCTCCTCTTTTTGCACCCTTGATTCTTGATGATTCTTTGAGCCATGCTGCCTGGGTGTTGTTACACAAATAGGCCTGATCTCGACTCCTAATTGTGCTGAATTGACTGTGTGGGCGTGTGCTGATGTTGCTCTTGTTCATATATCACCTCCCTTTCCTGAAAATGCAAGGTGCAAGACTCTAACTGACACGTGCATTCTGCCCGAAATTCTGGTCGTCCCCGGGGTCATGCCTTGTCCAGGCCCTCTTCCAGCGGTTCATATTCGTCCGTGATCTCAACCTTGACTCGATGCCCATCCAAACTTGTCCGGGCATAGCTTCGATGGTTGACGGCTTGCCTATCAATAGCTGTAGACTCCTCCTGAAACTCTATGTGCTTGGCCTAATTGGTGAACGTAGGGAGAGTCCAACAGCAGCTGTAGGATGAGAGTCAAAGAGCAGTTGTCGGTAGCAGGCTGTGTGGATATAGTAATATATAATCCAGCGTGCATGATGGATGCTTGGTATACTGTATACTTGTTGACCAAACTGATAGATAGATCTCATCAAAAACCTCTAGCAAATGCCATTCCCTGCGCCAATGGCACCACTGAAGGCATATCAAGCTGAGCAGGGCCCCTGGCCGTTTTCAGCTCTGTGATTTGGTGCAGGCCCTTGAACCGCCTCTTGATGACCTGCGTTACCACTTTCCCATTGTGTTGCGAGCCTGGAATTCATGTGCGATGTGAACGATTGAAATGTGCTTGCTCACCAAAAAAGGGACACGGCTTCGCATGGCTTCGCATGGCTGTTGTCACGGCTCGGCCGTCTGTAGAGGTTTGGCTGATGTTATCAGGGTTCATCCCGAAGATGGGCAACATGAGAAGCGCACCTCTGCAGCAGTGACGGCTTTGGTCAGGGCGTTGCCAGTGGCTTGCACGATCACCTTATTCATTGACCAGGCGTCTTCATCTGATTGCACAAAGAACAGAACATTAACATCACAATAGCTATATAACTGCTCAGGCAAACATAATGAGACGTATAGTTTCCTCCCTATTAAGGTCTTCACATAGGGCTTCTTGAGCTCGTTGAATACAGTGGCCGCACGAGAGACATACGCCTCCACATCAGCTTGAAAGGAGTACGGTAAGTTGATAGTCGATTCAAGTTTCAAACAAATCCAAAAATACGACTACAGTACTACATCCACAGTTGCGAGTGGTCTGTTGAATTGTCGCTGAATGACTAGAGTGTTCCAGCAACCATTTCCTGTCTCCCATCCTTGCCCTGAGGTTTGCACAGACACACTGCCAGCAGCAGTCACGCGGATCTCTTCATCTGCCTTTTGGAGTTCCTCCTGAGCGCGCTCGCGTGAAAGACCCAGCAATTCAGAAATTCCGTACAGTACAGGAAGCTCTTCAGTTGAAGCCTTTCTAGTTGTATGAGGTTCTGCATTGCTTAAACCTACGGTAGACATCCATTATCCAAAGGAAATTTCTAATGCTTCCGTGCAATTGCTTGTGTATTCTTGGCAATATCTAAATGTTGGCAAAATGTACTGCAATTGGTTCTCTCATGAGATGCACAACACATGCCTTCGGTTTCATCACCTTGCGATACTTGTCCATGGCGGAGAACTCAGTGGCGACTCCACAAACAGATCTTGCTGCACCACTCAAATCCGGTGGACAGTTGTGGGTTGAACTAAATATTGGAATTGGAAAACACCTCAAATACCACGGGACCCCGCAAGGACAATAGTCAATAGAATAGCACTGTAATTGCCAAAATGACCAACTTGATCATAGGTTTTGCTGTCAATGACTCCTGATGCGCCAAACTCGATGGGGTTTCCCCTGCCATCTTTTAGCCCCCCGAAACAAACCACACCCCAGACCCAGATCCGAAATGGTGTAAACGACCTGCACAAGATCAACAAAGCTTGCTTGCCAGTATGTAAGTACAGTATCATAAATACTCATCACGATGTCCACTCACTGAAACCCGGCTGTCAATGTGCCAATGGCGACTGCAATCTGGGCACTCGATCCTCTGAACTGCTTGCTGTCACCACTACATTCAGCTCAAGATCGGCTGCCCCTTTGAGCCAGTGTCACATCCAAGGGCTTCATCCAAAGAAAACAACATGAACGATCACCGCAGCGGCAGTATGATCGGCTGCAGTGGGTAGTTTGTTTCAGAATGTTCCAGATCCCATCCCCGGGACGAAAGCAGAAACACGACCTGGTGCACCAGGCAGAAACTGAAAAGCAGTCTTGCTGTGGGGTGGAAGGCACCTGCACTGTTGGGCCTTGGCAAAGCCACTGCGCTTGACAGCTGTCAGCAGTCAGAGTTTGGTCAAGTCTCCGGTCTCTTGTGCTTGACAACTGCAATTACCACTGACTGCCGTCGATACGTCTCAGTTTCTTTCGCAAACAACTTTGGTCACTAGACATTTGTGACCCAGTCGTATGTTTGGCTGCCAGGTTCTTAAGGTAGCTGTCTTCCTCAGCTACCTCGTAAATGCTCTATCCCGATGTGCACCTGAAACAAACTTTAAAAAAGAAAATCTGAATCCTAGAAATTCCTAGACAATCCCAGAACCATACTCTACACCTTTCAGCCGCGAACTCCTTGCGGAGTCCTTGCGGAGTCCTCCCCCTCAGGCCCCAGAGCCCCCTTGCCCCAGGCAATGCGCCGCACGCCACTCAAGGAAGCCACTGGAAGCGCCTCCGGTTCGGCTCGCGGAGACTCTTGGAGTCGCATTTCGAAAAGGCTCGTTGGACGAAGAAAAACGTTGGAGCTCTCTTTGGAACTCTGCTTGAGCTCGCTTTCTGAACTCTCCCGTCTCTCGGCAAATCCAGGCGAATCTGGGGTCTCCGGCGGCCCTTGGAACAAATAAAGACCTCACACATTGGCCAGAAAGTCAGTGCTGTCAGCAGTGCTGTCAGTGCGGGGGTGCTATCAGTGCTCCGCAGGCGAATCGGGTGAAGACTGCAAATCGATCCAGCAACATACTAACCATACGATCCAGGCATAAGCGTCCCGTCCTTGCACTGTCAGAGAGCAGACATGTCAATTCCATCCTTCCCATTGAACCAAGTAGCAGGGTAGGGAACCTCCTTGTTGGCCCTCCTCAAAGTTGGCTCCACCTATGCATTTGGGCCAAGCAAAGATGCAGGCCCATGAAAAGAAGCCAACCGGAATGTATCGGATACATAAACCAAACTGCCTGTTTCCTGGAAAACACTACGTTCTGGATGGGTCATAGGGACAAGGTTGAACCTGCAGCTTGAAAGCCGCGCAGCCTTGCTTGAAAACTTGCGGTGTTGGAATCAACTGGAGTCAGAATACCTCGGTCCAAGTGGCCCTCTTAGAACAGAATAAAAAGCATCTGTTTAGTACAGGGGAGCTGAATAAAAAATCAAAACATATCGGAAGACTTGAGAACTACAAACCAAGCTCTTCATTCATCTGTCTACAGTGCTTTGAAGTCAAATGACCCCATTCCCATGCAGGGTGTCTTCATGAAAGAGGTTCTGGTAGAACTGTTCTAACTTCTTTGGCACTGAATTTGTCGTATCCAAGAACCTTGAAGGAATTGGCCTACCAGAGGGTTACCTGTTCCCAACACACCAGCCGTGTGATCCTCCGTCTTTGGAGTCGCCTCGAAATAGCTTCTCCGATGCTCCTCCACGGCCTGGTAATCTATTCACTGGCAATTCATTCAAAACAGAACTCCTTTGCCAGAGAGCTTCAGCTTCTATCTGCACAGCCTTTGCGCGTCACTGGACCTTCCCAAGGACCATCTAGAATCTAAATCTAGGGAAAAATGCCCGAAGTGTTCATTGAACCCTGGTCCCTCTGCTGCCAGTGTCCCACATGTCCCACCGCATTGTGCAGATGTCAAAGCATGCGCAAAGCCGCGAATGTCACAACGAACAGAGCTCATATATCCTTTCTCTGGAAGTCGTAGTTACCCCTTTTTGTTGTTTTCTCAAAGATCTTCCATCAACTGCCTGTCCCCGGCGCAAGAAAACAAATTAAGACCGCCATCTGGTCCCTCGTCTGGTGCCTGCCAAAAGTCTTGGAGCCGTTGCGCCGGTCCCCTAAGCACGGCCGCCGCTCCTCGCGGCACCGCGGACCCGAAAGCCCCGGCCACCGGCCAACCCTGCGCCCTTCAGTAGGCGCCTACTTAATTACAAGTAAGGAAGAAGTTCGCTCCTAGCTACTGGACTCTACTACTTATGGACGCAGGATAGCTCATGCTCACACAAATGATTTGGTTGCTAGATGTTTAAGGGATACTTAGCTTTCAATAGTAACGACAGGGTTTCTGTCGTTCCTCTTCCAATAAGCTTGACTTGACCCGTGTTCGGCTTACACGCGGCGGTGTCCTGGCTCTCCATCTGCAACAAGACGCATCCGTGCCTCCTGCAGAGCCAAGAGGCCATGGAGAAGGCACGACAGGCATCCGCTTGGTTTAGGTTTGTCTGAAACAAAGAGGGGGCCCTCAACCATAGGGATGCTCCTTTACTTTTTCTGTCGCTTTCTTTACCTTCTATATACCAGCCAAAATCTCGCTGGGTCGATTCTGAAAAGAAAAAGAAACAAGGCAGTAGGCAAATGTTGAGCGCCACTAAGATTATTCTTGCTCAGAAGACTTCGAGGCCTTTCCAGTAGATTCTCGGGAGATGTTTGCATCTGCATCTTCAACAGACCGCCAGACCAGTCGCCCCTTCATATGTTTTGCAGTCGCACACAGCCTTGGTCCGCTCTCGAAAGTCTGTGAGATGATGATGATGATGATGATGATGATGATGATGATGATGATGATGGTGAGGAGGAGGAGGAGGAGGCCGAGGCGGAGGAGGAGGATTGGATTGGATTGGATTGGATTGGAAAGAATTGGATTTAATGGACTTATGGGAGGTGGACCCGATCCAGACGTGCCAACCAGATGGGCGGCCTCCAGATGGGCCTCAAACGAGATTCTGAGAACTCCATGAATTTGAGGGCCAGTTCAACGATCTGGCTCTCCAGTCTTTCCGAAAACGGCCCCGTCCTGGGAACTGAAGCCAATAGCCTGAAAGGTACAAGGCCACGAGTCGTTCAGTTGTGGTGGTTTGGGTTCGAAGTGTCGATCCTGGGTGAAATGTTCCCCTCCTGAAAATCATGAAACTCTCTTTGGGCGGCCGGGTGATATATTTACATGTCTTACATTACATTACTTCGTGAATTCAAGTCAATCCTGTGGTCGCTTGCCTTGGACATGGATTCTTTGAAGGCTGCTTCCAGCATCTGCTGCGGTTGCGCCTTGGGCCACAACAGTGAACCTTGTTGAAAGGAAATCGGTCCCTAAGCAGATCTGCTCCATGCCTTATGGACCTTCAGCTCAACCCAAGCTGAAAAGTTCCTAACCTGATCTAACCTGTAAAGCTGGCAGCACCTGCCTTTCCTTGCATACTCCTCAGTCCCTAACCTCGGTATCAATTCCTAACCTCCTTTTACGACTCCTGAGCGCCGTGGGCACATTCGCCGGGACGACCCACACCCCCTGCAGCGTCGCCCGTTTTCTCCGCCAAACACCCTTCACCCACTTGGTGGGGGGTCATGCCTCGCGGCTCGATCTGGGCCTTCTGCGCGTGGCGCGTGGCCAGAAACCTGGCCCCCAAATAGATAGAAACGACAGAACCTCACATCAGACGACTAAGATTTGGATCACTGCCTACTTCATGTCTATCATCCATCTAGTTGGGAACCGCTATGACATCTATTGATCTCTCTCTGATGTCTCCTTGCGCGGAGATCTATTGATCTCTTCCTTCCGGCAGCACTTTGGCTTGGAGACATTTGTCCGCACGATCCGCACGCGCATCCGCCATCCATCCGCCACTACCCTTACCCGGCTTTCGGACTAGTCGCGACAGCGATGCCAAGCCGCCTCAAAATGGCGTCTTGCTTAGCACCTGGAGCAAGCAGCGAACGAAACAAGCTGAACAGTTTGGAGTGCAAGCTGTCCGCAACCTTCCGCAACTGAAAGGATATGAAAGGGACTTAGTCGTCTCCATGTCCTTGCTTCCAAATGTCTCAACCACGAACATCGTCCACTGTATATTTCGCTTGAAAGAGCTCTCTAATGACGTCATATCCGGACGATTCCAGACTGGTCTCCTTTTCCTTTTCAGCCCTGAGACGACTCCAAACGGTTGCACCTACCACTTTCAGCTCATGCTCCAGCCGTGCAACATCAGCGGATGTCCTAAGCACAGTCCCTGGAATGGCTGTGGGTGAGACGGGATATATTTCTCTCACCAGCGTTGCTATGGACAGATTTCCAATGTGTCCATGTCCAAGTCATCGCCAGACTTGTATTCAGAGTCGCAAGAATTTGAGGCATGTGCACTGCAAAGAAAAGGATTCCTGGCTTGAAGTTGCTATTAGGTTGGAGGCCATCGCTCTTAGGTTCGAGGCCATCGCTCTTAGTTTGGAGGCCATCGCTCTTGGGTTGGAGGCCATTGCTACTAGGAGGGAGGAGGCTTAAAGTTGAGACTCCAAACACCAAAGCCAAGCATCTGCATCACATGAATCGTCCTTGCCGTCTCGTGCATGGTCAAGGCTGCATGCAAGAAGTCCTAACAGGCCCAGTGGGAAGGCTCCGACGACCTGGTCCCTCTCACACTTGGTTGTATTCTCCAGCGTACTCAGAGTCCCATGTGGCTAGCCAGTTGCTCCCAATCGTGTTGAGTCGTGCTACGCATGAGAAATCCAATTCCAAGCATCTGCGATTGGGATGGCATGTCCCCCTTCGCTGAGAAGGTCAACAAGCCTGAGCGCTTGTAAAAAGCACGCAAAGTCCGCTCACTCATGACTCATGACCGTCTTGACCTCTTTTTTGGACCTGGTTCTCAAGAATGTTGCACCGTCCATGGCCAAACTACCGTGGGGCACAGAATATGTTTGTACGTTAAAAGAAATAACTACTACAGTATCAAAACGGTGGTGCACAAACAGACCGCTCCAAAAAGCCGCCCCCAACAGAAACGTCCAACCAAAAGCCACCGCGAACCCCCCCAAAAAGAAGCTACAAAAACAAAGCGACTTTCAACAGCTAAGAACCCTCCTTCTTTCCGTCAATCCAATGGTTTTAGGGTTTAGGGTGCGGTCCCAGTGGCGCCCGGACCTCGTTGTGGTTCAAACCCATGGATCCCAACGTCTCGATCCTCAGCTGTCGCGTCTGGGCTTGTGGGGGGGTGCAGGGATATTTTAATGACAATGTGAAAGAGGAAACTCCTACGGCATCATGAGAGATACCCCAAAAAAATGCGTCCGATTGACCGGAGATAGCATGGTGGTGGTGTCATTTGAAGGCATGGAGTCTGTGGAAGGCGTGTCGATCAACCTGTGCCTTGATCAAGACCTTCCACGTTCACGTTCAACAAGGAACCATCAGCATGGCAAGGTGACATGATCACACCAACATCAGCGAGGTCACACTTGCTCCTCTTCCAGCATTCGCAAGAAGCTTTCGCGCTCCACGCAGCCATCACCTGTAAAGCAATGTTTTGTGCAAAGAACGAATCAAACAATCAGTCATTGAAGCCATTGCATCCCGAGAACGGCAGGTGTTAGTCAGTTAGTCCATCCTCAAAACAGTCTGTGAGGTCTGTTAGCCAGGTGTGTGGCATGTGAGTGATGGGACACACCGTATTGACCCCGCAGCAAACAGCCTTCCAAAAACCATCCTCAAAGCACTGGTGTAGGAGCAAGAAGCTATTAGTAGCTCCTGGCATTACTACTAGGAACAAGAAGCTATTAGTAACAAAGGGCATCGCTACTAGGAGCAAGGACACTACAAGTAGTAGTTCCTACCAGTGGTTCTACCCCCTCTAGAGCACCCGTTGAGCCCATTGGTTGTGTGAAGTGTGTCAGTGAGGAGGCGAGGAGTGGTGGAAAGCACGGAAACAATGCTAAAGCAAAAAGTGTCTACCAAGTTGTGGGGAACAGGGACTACCAGAGAGTGTTCACCTGTCTACTTTCAGGGGTCTATATAGGTTGAACCCCCTCCCAGATCATCTTCTCAGGCTCAGAAAGGCATCTGATTTGGACAGTTCATTCTAACTCCACCGGTGCATATACTCTGCACGTAGCTTGGATTGGATGATCATGACCCACCAACCATGCCCCAAGCGCTGCGCCTGTATCATCCTTAGCTGAATGGATTGGGATGATCGGATGACTCAGCAAGCCTTGACTTAGAAGTTTGAGATGGAGGGTCCTTGTCAACCCGCCACCGGAAGCTTCTGAAACCCTTCAAACGTTGTCTGTCCACCATCAAGCCAAAGCAGTGTGTGTTCTTATTGTTTAATCGCAACGACACAGTTCTAACGACACAGTTTCGACTGGATTGTCTGCTGTTGAATAAAACCAATGTCCAAGGGACTGCTAGCTTGAAGACATTTTTCAGACCTCGGTCAATGTTGCACCGAAAAAAACGCGCCGGAGTCGCTGAGTGTTCCGTCCCATTCGGAGACATCCGAGGAGCCCTGCACGGGCGTCCTTTTGGTTTTGGACAGGCCAATCGAAAGCCGATCTTGACGAGAACGTCAATTGGAGATTGCATGAAAAGCGCTGAATTCTCAGCCACGATCCGGCAACTTCGCCATTGGCCACCCAAGTTGGGTAGCTAAAAAATATAGATCTTGCAAAGCGCAGCTACCTTTTCCTGCAATGGGCTTTTGGGCCTTAAAGTTGCCCCGTCAAGTACATCGCATGCACATGCCTGAATGACTGCTCATGTAGCTATTGCGTTTTCTGTCACTCCTCCTTCGTTCAGGCATGTACTGCAAAGTCTGATTGGTCGTGCCGTCGCAAAATGCGGACACTCCAGACTGAAATGAAGAACTCTTCCGCTGGGGGTCATGCTGAGATTCTGAAGTCTCCGTTCGAGCTTCTGACTGTACTTCTCAGCAATCTCTCGCTCCAGCAGGAAATCTTTCAGCTTTTCCTTCATCATGTTCAAGTCCTGCTCGAGTTCTTCTATGTAGCCATCTTTCAGAAACAGCTGATTTGCTGCTTCTTCGAGCTCTCGCTCGAGACGGGCATTTGGTACAGATACTTGGGTCTCCTGGTCGACCCTCTGCACCTTCAGGCTCAAATCGATGCTCTTGAACCATTCCATGCCCTTCACGGTCTCCCGGATGTAGGCCATCATGCCCTCCAAAATCTCTTTGATGTAGCCCGTGGTCCACTTGATCAAGCTCAAGGCCCCGATGCAAGCTAATGAGCATAGCATCATCCATACCCAACTTGTCTCCTCAGGCTCTTTCGCTTCTGTCGAGGTGCTTCCGACCTTGTTGATCGTAGCTAGCAGCATCAACAAGCCAATCCTCAAGTCCTTGGCTTTCCCAAACTTCTTCATCCCTTGTTTCAACTTGTGCTGCTCCTCGATCTCCCGGAACTCCTGCTCGCCCACTCTGTCACCTACCGCATCCACCATTTGCAGCATGTATTGCAGACCCCTCAACCTCTTCTTTGGCAAGTTCTTTGTCCCGATGTCCGCGCTGTTGAGGTCTGTTGGGATCGCTGCCACACTCAGAGTCTTCTCTCTCTCCTTCTGCTGTATCCACAGCATGGATGCATCCAGGTGTCGAACTCTTCCTATGCCCTGCCTCTGTGTCATTCCTCTTGCGGCCGAACTGTCTGACCTCGCTTTCATCTGGCACTCTTCTCCTGTGATCTTATTCCACAGGTGCCTCACCAACATTCCTTCGGAGCACCCAGCCACCAGCGCCATGAACTCACTCTCTCCTGATGACAGCGCAATGGCTTTCTGGCTCCTGACTTTGCTTTCGATGAGGTTGCCATCGATGAAGACCTGCATGGAAGTCGTTGATTTCCTGTCGTTCTTATTTCTCTGAGTCTGTGATGACTTCCACCAAATGTCTTTCTCCATCTTCCACCTCCTCAATCTCTCTGAAGTCCATCATGGATTGCCCCTTCTTCCTTTCTTCCATCCTTACTCCGTACCCACTTGTTCCGAAGAGGTATGAGCAGGTATGCCAAGCATTCTTCAAAGCATTTCTTGTGGGCTTCGCCATGTGGCGTGCGAGGCACTGGATGGCATATTGCGCATCAGGGCGTTCTCCAGCCATGTACATCAGGCGTCCCACAATGCTCCTATACTTTGTGATCTCTGCTCCCTCTAGGGCTTCGGAGTCGTCTTTCTTCGCAAAGTTGGCGTCCAGAGGGGTCTTTCTGTAGAACTTGGAGTACACGTCAACCTCCTTCTCAAAGCTGTCGTACTGCTTCCTATC